CCTTCCACAAGACATAACTGGACTTTTGCAAGAAACAAGTCTTTTTCAAATAATATGTTTTGATTCTAGCATGGATAAAGAATGCTTAAACTCTCTCTAGCCTTAACATTAAATAGTAAATACATCCTCTTTACAGTCCCTATGGTATTATTTTCTTTAAACATGGACTAATTTTCTTATTAAATACTTGTGTTAAAGAGCAAGGTCAGCTTCAGAATTCCTAGAAAAAGGCTCTAGAACAAGTCACCTAAAGAATGACACCAAGAGAAGAGCATGATAGAAATCAGATTTGAGAGAGGGAAGTAGGTACATTTAAATTTGCTTCAGTCTCTTCCATTGGTAGTGTTTTGGTGAGTGAAAATAACAGCTACAGAGTATTTGTTATTTCACTACCATTTATAAGATGTTTTGGTTGTATGAACTACAGAAATATATGAATTGGTATTTTTATAAACAATACATATGACAGAGTCTTAAGTTTAATTTATTTCATGTTTGTCCCTTTACTCTAATCTCCATTATGCCAAAGACAACTATATTAATAATTTCAGTTTGCTTATTGTTCTGGTAAACCATAGCATTACAGAAGGGGTAAGTCTGTAGAGAGCCAGAGTAAGGTACCACAATATTTATGTTACTTATGGTAACATAAATACTGTCATCATTCTTATTTCTTCTAGACAGGAAAAAAAACCTGGCCACTGAAAAGCAAAGATGTTTCCAATTTCTCTCATCATTTGAAGCAATCAATGTAAAAGAGAAAAAATTTGAGAACTAATATAAATCCTATGAAGAGTCTGCCTTAGTGGCACTCATTTTAGAACTGTCTGCCTTTGCACTTGGATTTATAAATGCTAATTATCAAGGTCATCACAGATTTGTGTGATATTTTAGGTTTTCTCTCTGCTTTTCTATTAACCTGAGAAATAGAAGTGTTCTTTCTAAAATTACTATTCTAAAATTCTAGAATATTTTAGAACTATACTAGAGCTGCCTAGACACTCTTTTCAACAATTTCCCCTTTCTTAATTTTCAGAAGTTATAAGAATCAACTGCTGTAGCTACTGCATTGACAGATCAAGATGCTGTTCCCCACAACTAATATGTCCCTCCATTGCAACATTTACTTTCCAAAGTACTAGTATCTTCTTTGGAAAACACCCACATTTGTTTTCCTATTCATTACGTTATTAGCAAAAAAAGATGGAGTAATTCTGCAAAAAATATCCCTGAAGTAACTTTAATATAACTATTAAATCTTGCTTCAACCTAAACCTGGGCATTCTTCATGCCCACATTTTACCAGATAATTCTGACTTGAGGTCTCTAGAATCCGTGACAGGTGGATCATCTAACTAAAGCAAATACATTTGATAAAGCTAAGCCAGCAAAATTACTTCTGCTGCTGTTGCAGTGGGCTACCATTAAGGAAAGAGAAACTAATGAAAACTTTCCCACACATGCCAGGATTGTCACTGACAAAATGATAATTGGCTTACAAGAGGTGATAAGACTACAGACAAATGGTAATATCATGGCATTCACCTTTGTGCTGTCTGCCCTTGTGTCTTTTCTATGTCCTTCCAAACAGGTTATCTGCAGAAGTCATGAGGACGTCTCATTTTGGAGAAAGATACAGAATAAAGTGGAGATCTCATGTGCATGTCAGGTGATTAAGTTTCACTGCGTACACTGTCACACAGTGAGTGGAAGATAAGTAAAACACCCCTCCAAAAATAAATAGAGCAAATATGGTGCCCAACCAACTCTGACCTCCCAAAGTAACAAATAAGCAAGTGAAATTCTACATCTGCAGGACAAAGGTGCCAGTAAAACAGAAAGATAGCCAGGTGCTTTAGATTTCAACTATCTCTGAGCACAGGATACACATATCAGCTTTTAATAAATTCAGCTGGAAATTATTCCAGCATTTGAAGAATGCTGTTCTCTACATGTGTACATGTGTGATACAGCAAAACACGTGGCAGCTGTTTCAATTGAAACCATGGAGAAGTGGATTTAGAATTTTATTGGATTGAAAAAGACAACCAGGGCAGTTTAGTGGATACTATTGAAGGCAAAAATAGTCTGATGGAAAGGATAGTCACCTACAGAAGCCAATAGACTTTTAACATTAGAAAGAATCCAAAATAATACTACAAATGTTACAAGCAGCATAGACCAGTATAGAAATTGCAAGCTGATATTTAACAAAAATATACCTGCTTTGACAACTGTCATGTGGAAATACACAGGTTAACACTCAGGGAGAAAAGGCATGATTTTGCAGACAATCATCAAAAACCCGCAGAGCATGTATGGTAGAAACAAAGAAATAAATTATATCAGTATCACTAGCAAAGAAAAATTATTCAAAGAAGTAGTAAACACCTTCATAAAATAATTTTTTTGGCACTGTCTTCAGTAGACAACTTTGATGATATAAAAGATTCAAAGATTTTTATTTAGGTAATAATATTTTGAGCAGGAGTGGAGGGAAAAGCAAGAGAGCATGGCCAGAAAATTCTGAGCAAGAACCTGTACTTTCAAAGGCTAAAGCTAAGCAAACACGTTACATTCTAGAGAGCAGAAACAACAAATCTAGGCAAGAAGTTAACTGGAGGAGCTGATTTCATGGTGAGGCTGTCACTGACCAGCTCTACCAGACACACAATGGGTATTTTGATGCTATGGAATGAGCTCTGGAACAAGGAACACATGTAAAGAGCTGGTGAGTCACAGCCGAGCAAACTGTTTCTAACGAAAATCTTTGACAATGCAACCAGTGTTATATCTCTTTACTAGCATCTGTATCAGAAACTCTTCATATTTTCTATGGGGGTGTAAGTGATAGTATTGCTGGCCTGATGACCCTATAATGGTATTATCTAAACATAGAAGTAATAGAGCTGAAAATTACCCACTGAATAAGTCTTTACAACTTTTCAGTATTGAAAGGGATCCAGAATTGACTAAAATGGGTCTTAAGGTGTCTCTGTCTTTTACTAAAAATGCTCAGCAAACTTTCCTTCCTTCTCAGGTAGATATTTGCTATTTTCTTTTTTCCCTTCAAGCAGTGGAAGATCTGCAAGCTAAGGTCAAAGTTCAAAAAGCTTCAGCAGTTGTAGCCACTCTCTAGAATACTGGACAAAATTTAATTGCTAAAGCTTTTGTTCAGAATGAAACAAACTTAGAGGAGTGCCTACTCCCCACATCTCCAAGGAGTCAATGTTCAGTGCAGCATTGGGTATTTCAGGATGTACATTTATTATATGTGAAAACTATTCAGGGGCTGAAAAAATATCTCAGATAAGAGCTGGCAATACCCTGAACTGGCCTGAAATGAAAGGCCAGAATTGGAATCTTCAGCGTTATCCCATATGCCAAAAACTACAATGAATAAGTCAACACAGGCAGTATAAAATACCGACCCTGCTGCTCTAAGTAGGATAGATTTGTTTATGTTGCTTGAAAAAAAAAACAAACCATGCTTCTTTTAGATTAATATTCTCATTCTGCTGAGGCAGCATCTCCTAATAAAATGACATCTAAGTTTGTGATGGTGTATATGCAGTATTTTTACTAGATACAGCACTGCTGACAGTAATATCCAATAAAGGACAACTCATTAAGCAAAACTGTAAGTTCTAAGTAATCAAGCAATTTAAAAGTTTTATTCTCAAGACTAATGGATTTAATGACAACAATAATGCAGATACTGAAAAGGGTACCTAGCTGGATTCCAAACCATGTTATAACACAGCAGTATCACTACTTTCTTTAATCAATGCAGATAACTGGTGGCAATTTTTAAAGTGCTACCAGAACACACATATAGAACAAAATTAATAGGTAACAATAATTAACAACATTATTATAATTTATTTAATGGGAAGTTAATATTATAATTTATTTAATGGGGGGTTCCTTCTCATTGCCACTATATAAAATGGTGTCTGTGTGTTCACAGTGGGAAACATTAGTTGCAAGCCTTAAAGAATGCAAGTGAAAATCCTGGAATTACTGGTTACTGTAACACGGGAGGAATAGGGCACTTCATTTCTGTTTGAAAAAGGATAAGAAGCATCAAATTTACCTCTTTGATTAATGAGGCCTAGGGCAAATAACAATGATGCACTATTTAGACAACTGAACTTCAAAACACAGTGCAGTAAAAGAAAATGGGCTTTCTGGCTTTGCTTTATACTGGATTCAATTTCTCAAGTCTAAGTAACAGCACAAATCATCTCAAACTCCTAACTGGATTAAGTAATAGAATTCACTATCAGGTTGGTTGTCTATTACTTGAAATTGTGTTGAATGCAAACTTGTTTATTTATATTATTTGCAATTTATATATATTTACATTTTATTTATTTATATTTTGTTACAAAACCTTGGAAAGAAATGGCATTCTGGACCAAATGTCCAAGTTTCTAAACTAAAGAACCAGCACTATAAAAGCTCTTCTACTTGACGAACGAACTGTCAGATAAGGTGCAATTTTTGAAAGCAACTGATCAGTGATAAACTAATTTTCCAGACTGCTGTGCACTCTTCATCCATAGTCAAGGATGTGGCTTTGGACTCTGTCTTCTGTCAGAGGAACAACACTCCTAAAATTATAATTTACACTCATTCAGAATTGAAATGCAGGGTTTATTACTCAAGAGCCTGGCAGCTGAACAGCAATATGCGGCTCTACCCTGTGAACAGTATGTACTGTAGGCAGAATTGTTAGAATGGAGGAAGACTAAAGATAAAGCCAAGACTCCTGGTGAGATCTATCAGATGCTTATTAGCACAAGAGATTTCAAAAACTACATGACAGAAGGGATAAAACAGCTGAAAATAATCTCATATAGTGTACAGTCAAGGAGGAGACACAGCTATGCCAGTGCTATGTGTGAATATAAGCTAAACATTTGTAAAAGCAGTTCAGCAGAACAACTGATGTAAAAAGAAGACAAAAGTACTGACCTACTTCACAGCTCCTCGTGTTCCGACTACCTCATACAAGCTTTAAGGCTAACAGTTCATCTTCATCCTCATTCATTCAAAATCATCATCCAACTTTCCCTTTCTCTTCATCTGCCAAGAAACCTGCAAGGCGATTATTAATGTAATGCAATGTGGAAAAGCAGTTGAATGAAACAGTGTCACTGAATTCCAAGTATGGTGGAAATTTCTTCCAAGAATCTCTATCAAGTCACCTTTGATATTTATAGTAGATTTGCAGCTCCATCCCCCCAGTTAACAAACTTCTGTGCATATCTACAGAAGAAGAAAGAAAGCCAAAAAAAAGCGCCTTTGCCTCAGGATAAAAGAAAAGCTATTTCAGTTATGGTTGGTCTAGGGTTCTCTGACAGTGTCTGGTGTGATAGGAAACTTGCTGAAGACCAAATTCCCAGCAAGATACACAGGGAGAGCGACCTTTGAGCGTAACTATAGTTTTGTTAGGATGTTAATTAAAATCCATATTGATCCACAGAGGAAAGCATACCATAGGAAATTTGGATATACTATGTCTAGTGCTGGAAAGTCATTCATAAGAGTACTCAGGCTCCATGCAAAACACAGTGGTATCAATGACACACTAAAGGGCCCAAAAATGAAATAAATTTCATGATCATGACAGTACTATGGTAACTTGAAAGACAAGGTGAGGAAGTATGATTCTATTCTAACTCAATGGCATGAAGCAGAAAGTACATAAAAAATGGGACACGTACTATTTGTTTATAAAGACTTTAGGGGAGAAGTGACTTAAGCAAAATCCTTTAATGGAATAAAAGCAATATGCCAACAACTTCATCTAGAACCTCTTGCACAAAATTGTCAGAATCAGATATATTTGCCCTGTCTTGTTGTTTCTTTTTATATAATATATCACCACAAATATTGACATATTTAAATTATACACTATGAACTATTTTAATCTCTTCTGGAGATTAAACAATAAGTACCTTTTCAAAAACAAAACACTACCCACCCAATATTCAAATGAGAAGATAGCAAATTTCCGTCACAGGGATTCAGACTTTCAAGTGAATGTAAAGATATTTCTCAGTTTAACTACTTATAATTGAACTATATATATAATGCACAGAATTTACATTATTTGTCCTTCTTTGAACAGCTGGAAAAGACAGACGGTTTCAGAGTAATTTTGTTAGAGGACACTCTTATATAACCATGACTACATACAGTAAAGAATCAAAACATATGGTAGAAACTGCAAGGTCCAAATTGTTAATCCAACAAATAGATGGCCAAGAAATGCAGCATGTATTTACAGTGTTGATTAAGGCAAGAGAATTGAGAACATCCTGAAACACATGGAGCCCAACAATGCAATATACCCAACCAATATTTATTGCTGCCTCTCTAGAAGCAATTTCCATTTTGATGTGTTCTTTCACACATGATGTTCCGAAACAGTTAAGTAACATGAAAAATACAGGTTCAAGACTATATCTGTCACAGATGAAAATACAGCATTTATGCAGCATTACATAATAAAGCCACTGGTTTATGGACCCAAGGTCCTCTCAGGATTGCCACAAATCTACATATTGTCATACATGAGAGATTTTTACATTTGCTTATGCGAATTAAAAAGAATCCACATTAATAACCAAAACAAAGCCTGCACAGTTATTGAGTCTAAAGGACTGAGGAAATTTAACAGTGACATTTGGTTGTGGCAAAGGTCACCTATTAGTTCACAAAAATCTGCCTGGAAAGTCACCTATCTTAGCCAATGTTTTATAGAGAAACAAAGGACAGTGTTAAAACCATCTGATTCCTGGGGTGGGGGCAATACTGAGGGTAGATCTGCATTTGTTCTGAACTTAAAAGACAGCAGAATTGTGAGGAGGGAGAAAAACGGTGGATGTTTTTACACACTTATTTTAGAAACTAGGAATTAATTAACTCCATCAAACTGTTCACCTAGCCAGTATATCTAGCTAAATTTCTACTATGCAAATATAAGTGAAATCATTAACACTGATTTTTGCCAAATAAAATATAAATGTTGTGGAGATTATCAATGCTAAGCATGGAGCTCCATAAATTTATGGAACCCAAAAAATTTAGGGAAGAAATCATATGCCATGCTATCTGCAGCAACAAATGACAGGACTGATGATCCTAGAGGTCTCTTCCATTCTTTTTTTCCCAAACTACTACATATAAATTAAATACCAATTTTCACTAGTAGCTTAATCAAATTTTGGACATGTGTATTTAGAGTTGAAACATTAATGCATCCTCTCACTACATGATCTGGACTATAAGATGATTATTTCTGCTCAAGTCCTGCACGCCACCATAGTTATCCCTCTCTCTAATGCTTTAATCTAATGGCACAATTAGTCCAGTTAAGGATTAGACATTACATCCAGAATTTTACAAGAGTTCTCCTACCCCTAAATATCAGAGAATGCAAAAAATACATCACCTTCACATGTCTTAGCAGGTAAGCATTAAGTATTTTCTACCACATGTAAAAATTAGCATGCAGAGAAACTGTGACAAAAAGCTGTATTTAATCCAACATTTTGATAATACATATAAATAAATTTGTAGATGTATAATATAAAAAAAGTATAAATATACACATAGTTATTCACATCTGTATATATTGCCACGTGATTCTGGAATAGCACATTTGACAAATACACGAAATAAAAAAAGGAGGCAAATACTCCATAATTTACTAGTAGCAGGCACTTTCTTAGAACGTTTTATCAGGTCCTGATTTAACCTACCTGACATCCCTATAGAGCTGGAAAGTATAGACTACTTTTTCAGGCATTGAAAGTGAAGTAAACAAAAAAAAAAAATTACAAAAAGGCACCAAAGCCCAGGTCTTCCAGTTTTTAAGAGCGAACTCTAATCCACTAAAAAGCTACAGGTCTTATTTTTGGATATTATCTTCAGTTTTGGACTACTTTTTCATGGAAATCTCAATCCTCCCATCCCATGAGGAAAACAATATATTCAATCTAAGGAAACCACCTGTGCTTTTTAATGGCCTTGCCTGACAAAGAATAGGTCTTGTAAAAGATGAAATGGAAAATGGAAATGGAAAACCATTCAACATTTGAGAAAGGTGACTAAATTCACTAGCCTAGTGTCAATTTTTACTTCCTAGGTTTGTTTTTTGAGGGTTTTTTTTTTAAAGGCCATTCATGAAATATTGGAGATGCCCGTCTTACATTAATGTTGTGTCCTCTGACATCCACTCAGTGAAAGATAAAAAGATGGCATTAAGTTTTAGCAGTGAAGTGAAATGTTGCATGGTGCAAGGTGACCCAGTCTCATTTAACAGATTACCAAAATATAATCAAATAAAACTATGATCTTTACACTGGCAAAAACAGTGCAGCAAGAGGACAAATGTGATTTTAAAAACTTAAAAGACCAATTGAAATGAATCATGTATATTTTTACAATGTAAGTGAGTCCTCTGCAGCTATCCAGACCTTGTAAGAACATCCATATTGAGGGCAAATTTTAGTACGGGCAGGTTCAGCTTTCCCTATAATTTTTTCCTGACACTATATCTAACTCAAAGGAAATATCTCAAACTCAATTAAGCTGTTTGATTACACTAAAAATAGTCCTTGCTCTTCATCTTATTCTCAGTATCTGCTGACAGATAACTCATAGTTCACAGGGAATGTATTGTCTAACTGCATTAATCCACAGCTGGGGGAAAAAAAAGGGAAAAGAAAATTCATACCAGTCTGATGATGTGTGTACAATTCAATTATATCACAATAAACTGCTGAGGCTTAAGATTACCAATAGAAAACTGTAGGAAGCACAGATTTTGTGAAACAGATCTAGACTTAATTGATAAGAGTTCTTCTCACACAGATTGTTTTTGATTGCTACCATGATTTCCATACAGCTTTCTCTAATGTGTTTTCTGATAGCTACTGACAAACTTGAGATATTTTCATGATGGACTTCAGCTGTAATCCACTATGGCAATTCCTCCTTTTCTAAACCCTTACATTTAGTCCTTCAAATCCATTCACTAAGAACTGCCTCACCTGCCACTCAGATTGCAATGCCTCCCAGACCTTCATCAGCTCACCTCATCTATCCACTGTCACACAAACTTGGGCTCGATTTGTTGAAATGGAGGAAACTTCTCCTAGGGTCGAATGATGTGATTTGGGGCTGAAATTAAGTGAAGCTTGCAGGTTTGGATAGAGTGTTAGGTGAAATTCTGTCAAATCCTGAAAAATAAACCAAAACAAAACTATGAATTCATGCCTGCATTTTGCAGGGAACAACTCCTGGCAAAATAATTTTGAAGAGTTTTAAATTAATCACAGGAAACCTTAAAATATAAACATGATTTATTAGATAAAATTTTCTATTATTAATTTTTTAAACTTTTAGATTAATTTTTGTAATTAATTAATTTTCAATATCCTTTTGCAAAGAAGATAAGGCAGAAGATAAGAGTTAGTGAGTGACTGAAGCTGCAGAGTTAAAACACCCACGAACATCCACACTTTCAAAAATGCACTATTAATACATTGGGAGATCACTGCCCAGATTCATGCCACTAAACACAGGGCTTAAGAGCCTGAAAAAAATATTCAAACATGTGAAAGTAAAAAAATCCTTCTGTATAACAAAACAGTAATAAAAGTCTCTTACCAATTATTCTACTGTGTTTTCAAAATAGGAACAGTGTCTCTTATGGCCTAATTTTATCATTTCCTTTGCCCCATGTTAAAACGCCAGTGTAATTATCCTTTATAAAGGTTGACTGAGGTCCTTGTGCAAATCTGCTCAGGGTGATAATTTAGCTGGCTTTTTATTTGTGGAATTTAGGCAAGAATGTTTCAAGCTCTTTGTCAAAATAACTGCTTGATCTGCTTTAGTATTTTTTTAATTGTTAAAAAAATAGCATTTTCTAATAAAGCGAGGGAGAGGAAGGTTAAACATGCCAATTACCAACTTACAAGAAGAGTGAAACATAAAAGTTGTGCAAAGGGATTCCTAATTTTGATGTACTTGGAGTCAATTCTTAATATGTAATGATACCTGGAAATGTAAGTACAGTAGCATATTAGGGAATATTTTTCGATGTTTCCACAATGCATTCAGGTGTTACTGAAAACTTTTTAGTAATTAGTAATTAATAAATTAATTACTTCACATTCTAATGACTGTCAAAGTGCCAGACTTCAGCTGACACAAAAACTATCATTTTAAGGAGAGATTTCAAGTAACTTGACCAAAAGGAAGATTTGCAGTGCTGAAAACTTAACTGCTTTTACCTAATTAAATGACCTGGCCTAACAAGTAAAAAAAAAATCCTAAGAAACCCCAAAAATCAAACCCAAAACAAAACACCAAAACTTCCCCCAGCCAACCAACACCTCTCCAAGTACTCTACACCAGAGATGTTGAAAGGGAATTATTAACACTCCATCAAGGGGGAAAATCTCACTTTCAAAAGGCTGAAGCTTCTTTATCTACATATTTAAACCCCATCGAAACATGGTTTTCCTCCACGAGGCTTTTATTGTATAAGGAACACAAAAGATTGCTCCTAAAAAGCCGTCCTGCAAATGACGAAAAGCAACTGAAATGATACAAGAGCAACTTAAACTTGTGATGTATTTTTCCAGTCAAACATTTGCTCTAGTTCTCTCTCCAAAAGCGACAGACTTAGCAGAGGTCCCACTCTGACAAACACAACTGTGCTTGCTGCCTCTGTCTCTCGACATCAGCCACAACCACCACCATGAGACAGGAAAAGGCCCAGAGCAGTGAGAGAGCGAGGACAGTGCAAAGGGGACCCTCAAAAGATGCAGACAGCCACAGTGTACCACAAACACTCTCCCTGTCAAGCACCCCATGAGCAGGACCATGAGATCTCTCAGACAAAGGACGACCATAGCAAAACTTGCCTGCATCCCTCAGCCCTTCCCAGTGGTCACAAAATATTGCCAGGATACAGCAGATGTCTCTCTTTCCATCATACCAGTTGTACTTTTGAGCCTTTCAAAAAAAACTCTAACCAAACAAAAAAAAAATCACCACACTTTTTTCTTTCCCCTTAAAGCCTACAATTCTCTTCTCTCTGCCTTAAATATAGTATTTTCTTCCAGCAGAACATCTTTTGAGGTACCATAAGTAAGACTCTTTCCACTGAGTGATTCCATGAAGACTGTGTCTTGGAAGGTTCTACTTTACTATTTTTTTCCTTTTAAAAACTTTCTAATTGAGTACTCACAGCAGTATATGCATTCCTATGAAAAAGTCTACATAAATTTATGGGAAATTACAATTTTAAGACATCTCCAATCTATGAAATTTGACAGTGTAAAAATATTACTTCTCTAGAAGTTGACAGTGATTAAAAAAAACTACAGAAGGATTATCACTGCCTATTAAATGTGATAGCTTGAACCATTTCTATGGAATCCTTTCTTATTTTATTCCTATTAGATCCATTAGCATATTTCCAGCTAATAGCTAACATTTGTCCCCTGAATTAAAAAGAGGCTCCCCCTAAACCTGCTTCAATGGCTAGATATTATGGCAATCAGTTAAAACTTTCCTATTTCTCATCCAATGGCTTTACACACTGCAGTTTCATCTCTTTGCAAATGAAACACCCAGCTGAGCACTGCAGCCTGTCCTGCAGAGCCTGTGGCACCCTGCACCCTGTTCCTGTCTCAAAGTCTGCAGCTCCTGCAGAGCTCCACACTTGGGGCATTTCACACTCTGCCATCCAGTACTGACTCATGCCAAGAAACAGGCAGGTCTTCAATCTAAGCTTGCATGGCTCTGGTTACAGTCATGTTTGTAACTGTACATTTTTATTTCAGACATATCTTCCTACCTCACTGAGCTCCTCCACATCCGTGCTTAATGCACTCACTGTTAGGTACCTGCAATGGCCAATGGGCCTCAACTGCCCAATGCTTCAGCGAGCAGCCTACCAGGGCTGCTTTGTGGCAGCTGCAGTGCTATGCAAGAACTCACATAACTTATTTATCTCCCTCTAGGACAATAAATTAGTTTGGGGTTCTACTATTATTTTGTATTCTTTTAATGGAAAGCAAAATATTTTTCCACACAAACGACTATGCTGCAGTACTGTGTGGTCACTAATTTGTTAACCCTTATTTAGCATCAGCCATTCCATCACAAGATCATGCAAAGGCCTTCCTTGCTCCACAGTGACAGTGTTCTCTGTTAATGAGAAGGACACCAGCTTGGTACAGTTACATTCCTTTTCTCCTCTGATTTCCATTTCTGTGAATACTACCACAACACATACATTACTCTTAATGTTCTTCTAAGTGTTGGTAAATGCTATATAAGGTTTATACAGCAAGCCCGTGATTCTTAATGCAGTGGATTTTCTACTTTAGCAGTTGTTCATCTGTTCTGATTTCTTAATGGACTCTTTAAAAGAACTAGATTGTAATTAATTGCACTCCATGATTATATACATGAAAAGGATTGGTTTGAACTTTTACCCTTGACATACATCAAGGTGAAGGAAAAGATGCAGGTTATGGCTTAATAGTTTTACTTAGATAAATGGTGACATTTCTTAATAGAACCAAACAATTCTATGTTTTGTTCAGCCAACTTTCTTCTTCTTTTATTAATCTGTGTCAAGTAGGCACTAGAATTGAGATGGACTCATGTCACTCAATGGAAATATGTCAGCATTCAGCACCTTACTTTGCATGGAATAGTTTTCTATATTGAAAAATTCAAGAGCATGCAATTCTTAAAGAGCTTTCAAATGTTTATTTAGATTGGGTGTCAACCTTCATCATAATTATGTTTTTTTTGCTCCCAGTTACTAGTCTTCATGTTCTCAGAGCAGGCTGAAATGTCATGTAGCTGGCCTGTCCATGGGAGAGTTCTCCAGAACATAAAAAACCAAACGCCACACTGCTGCTAGTTATTTAGTTCTGCTTGCATGCAGCTGGGAGACTCTCTACAGAGCATTTTCACAGATAGATTCCTACCAAAGTGCTCACTATGAACACTTTTAAACCAGTGGCTAGTATTTAAATATCTGAGAATAAAGAACCATCATAGTTAGAGAACCTGAGCTCAAAATTTTCAGATTCTTGTCATATATTCACAGGAGGGCTGTTTTGAACTTGTCAAACTAAATCTTGGAACAAGAGACTTGGAAAACAATGGGTTCTTCTTATCATGACACCCATTTTTCCAGTCTAAATTTTTCAGCTGTAATAATCTGGAGTTCTGTGGACAGATTTCCAACAGATTCTGCCAGAGAATATGAACATGCTTGAGAAGTATAGAGTCAGTGTAAGAAAGAAAGCTGCTGCTGTGTCATCAATCTTCTATTGTCTGAACAGAAAACAATTTCAAATACACTAATAAATCCTTTCTGTTTTTCCCCACTACCTTTTCAAAATTTAACCCTTTTACAATATCACCTTGTAATCTCATCTGTGCACCACAAGAGTCACTGTCTGCTAGATCACAGTACTACTCAAACAACTTTCTCAGCCTCTATTTTAGCACTTGAAAAATAGGGCAATGCTTTTGGAAATGTGTGTACAAATGCCTGAATTTGAATGACTGACATTTTTATATTGCTTTGTGTGTATCAGCTATTTTATGAAAAGAACATAGTTTTATAGGAAAGTCCAACTACAGCACAGCCTGAGGCATAATTTCTATAGTTTAATCAGTGAATCACTTAGCATCACACAGTTCCCTTTTCCTTGCTCAGTATGCCAAAATTGTTCTTCTCTCCAGAATCATTCAGCTAAACTTATTTCATCATAGTAGGAATATTAAAAAATAGCTAGGCTTGCTGTGTCTATTTATCAGAACCTGAAATACTGTGAATGTTGAAGTTTCAATTTATTGCTGTGCCGGTCTTGTTTCAAGAGTATAACTGAAAGGCATATGGTTAACAAAATAACCTGTAACTGCTTTGAACGCTATCTCAGAGCCCATGAACATACATCAGTGTTTTTATTCCCATCTAGCAGGGGCATTTATCCTTAACAACAACAGATCATGAGCAAACTCTGGAAAAAAAAAGAAAAAACAAACCAGAAAGGACGTTGGATTTCCCGTTTGTTATTTAAAATGTGCTCTCCACAACTGAAAAATTAAAGGAGAGCTTTATGAGCATCCGGAGAGAAAGGAACAGGAGCTCAGCAGCAACTGTGCCAGCCCCATACGGCACCAAGTGCAATATGGTCCTGAGCTGCCCATGCAGCGCTCCATTTGTAGAGCTGGACACAAACCAATTCCTGCAGCTCAGGACAGAGCATGGAATGAAATCAATCCCAGCTCCCTAAAAAACCTGAATGCAGCCCCCAGAGCCAGCAGTCTGTCCCCAAGAGAGTACTGGAGCCCATGAGCTGCCCTCAAGGGAATTTTGGCTTGCCTAGAACAGTGAGGGATTCACCTCCAGCCAGGCAGGAGGAAGAGCACATTGGCCCCTTTCATGGCTGGGTGAGCTGCCACAGCCATGGCTTCCAAAAAAGGCAAGAGAACTGGTTCCCCTGACTTCACCTCTGTTGGAATTAACTGCATCCTATTACCACGTGTTCTTACAGAGAAGTGGGGCACCCAATACAGAGACCTGAATCTCTGCTGAATCTCAGCCAAGGACCTTGTGTGTTATAACTATACAGAACATAGTTCAATACAAAATTTGCATTCAAAAACAGTAACGAAAAAGCAAAGTAAATCATCTGATCAACACTAACATCAAAACTGAAGTGAATTCACAGCAAAAACACACATGACTGTCAGCAACCTTCACTGGAAATATGAGAGCTAAGAATTTTGCTATTGTGTCTTAAGTAATCATTGTAGTACTTAATAAAAACAAGAATTGGAAGTTGATTTGAAAGTGGTGGGCTGAACAACTAAGCTAGAATGAAGTATCCCAGACCCAAAACATAGCTTTGACATGGAAATCTTCTTCTAACTTAGAAAATTAGCTCAAAACAGATTTCCTTAACTTTGCTGAAAAAGGCTCTTCAGTTAAATACATAGGTCTTCCTAGTGTTTTAGAGCTAAGTACATGCACGCTTATCAGTGTGATCGAGGCTTTAATCCTTCCTCTGGTGGGCTCAGTAATAAAGTGGGGATAACTACGCTTACCTACTTTGTAGGATGTTGTCAAAATTAATGCTCACAGAGCCGTCAGTAGGTGAAAATCATTATAGCTCCCATCCCGCAATTGCTAATGCATGGGCTGCCTGCTGCACACACACTGAGCCTGGCAAAAGCTAATTGAGTCCTCTGAAGGTGCAGCAGTTTGTTCAGGCCCCATCAATAAACTGTTAAGAGTTTA